TTGATCTCGTGATCCGAAGTAATAGGCATCAAATGTGTAGCCCATCTGTTGTTTTTGAGAGCTTCCTGCACCGAAATGTTTTTTTCTTAAGGCCTTGTGATACAGATTTGGTGCGATATTTCTTGGTGCTTTTCCACTAATCCAAGAGGATAACCAGAATTTTGCCATGTCACCTTTTCCTACTTTGATCACTGTGGAAGCATGGAAAAGATCTGTGTCTATTTGATCGCATGGGATGTCAAGTCCAATCTTGGCCATTTCTTTGTTTTTGCATTTAAACCATATCTCCACTTAAGGCAAAGGGCCCTCGCAAGCCGTTCCAGGTCTGGTATACCAAGACCTCCTTTGTCTTTTGGCCGGAAAGTGATTGGCCAATTTACTAGACAATGCCCTACGCTCACCTTTTTCGGTTTACCCACTTTCCATACGAATGATCTTCGCAGCTTCTCAATCTTTTTTATCAGCCATTTCTTTGCCAGGAAGACAGTCAGGTGATATATTGGTTGTGATGACAGAACTGTTTTGACTAGCGTTTCCCGAGCTGCCTTAGTGAAACATTTTCCTTTCCATCCTGGTAGTCTTGCCCCTATTTTATCTATGAGCGGCTAGAATTCGATTTTCTTTAGCTTTGTTGTATGTAGTGGCAGCCCCGGATACTTTTACAATACAATTCTTTGTGTCATTCTTTGTGTACTCTACAGACTGCATAGCTAGCATTTGTTTGAGTCCTAGAGCAAACAAAATTTTCTCATCTTTGTAGGAACCATTTGTTTCATCAGTAAATCGAAGTATCTGTGTTCACAAAATGCAAGAGTTCTCCTTCTCCAAGTCCAAGTTAATTTTTTTAATAAGCAGGGTCACATGGTTATTTTTTCTAGGATCATGTGGAGTTGTGAACACACATCAATACATCTTGATGATTCTTATGATGTAATCTTGATGATTCTTATGATGTAATCTTTCGTTTTTCAGCACTCGTGTCACATTGGCCGTTATTAAGGTGACAGGGGCAACGCCAGCTGGTGGCACTGCCTGTTTGATGGCTGAAGAACATATATCATGCATGTAACATCTCCTCGAATATCAGTTTGAGGGCAGAAGAATACTGCACAATATATCTGCTGCTACTGGCGGATGATATGTATCTGTAGTTTGATCTCCTGTGTTTGTAGTCATGCTACTCCTTTTAAGTAATTTGGAACTGGTCAATCTGCTCGTGGGGCATCTAGGACTTCCTCGCACTAATATTCTCCTATGGTAGGAAACTGAATGTGGTACCTTGTTCTAATTTTACACTAATATTCTCCTTTTAAGTAATTGTAATAAACTGAATGTGCCAAAAGAATATGATTGGGATATTAGAACAATATTAAGTTTACTAATTTTTGCACAAATGTAAAGAGATGAAGATATAAAATGGTTCTAATTTCTAATTTCATATACAGAAGCCATCAACCAAGCTTTTGCATAGTTGAAGTTCTACTGCAATTCTGCAAATGAGCAAATGTTGTCGGTCTAGTTGCTGCAATTCCTTTTTCCATGAAAAAGATGGAAGTCATGTTCCATTGTTCCAGAACCACAAACGTATGAATCAATTTCTAGTTTTACTCAAATTCTTACTGTATGCTTATTACATTTATGTTTTTCCATGAAAATAGCATTCTGTGTTTTCACAATAACTTGATATTTTGTTCTCTACTTTCTCAATCTTTATTTTGGTCTCTGTATATCCCTCTCTTTTCAGAGTTTAAATATTGTTCAAGATGTCAGCAATCCTTACTCCTTGGAAGCGTAGATGGCTCGGAATTTTAGCAAAATTTCATTGTAAGTATAGATGGATTATATAAGTTCAATTGACTTTACAAATGATAATCTATATTTTTTTTGCAGGCTACATACTGAAGGCATGGTTCTATTGGGTAATATAAGTTTTTGTAGCAGTCTAGCAGACATATGCAGCTGTGTTTCATTTGATTGCATTATAAGATGTATGCATTCTCTTTTGCTCTTTATAAATTCTGCTAAAAGAAGCAGAGTCTATCAGCAAGCCTTGGGGAGGGATGGAGAAGAAAATACGGTTTTGATCCTATCCATCGTGGCCTTTTCAACAGATCAGATGCAGCTACTGCATATGTTACAGTAGCAGCTGCCTTCTCTGAATTTTTAAGGCAGCAGCAGTTTAGTTGATTAGAAAAATTATAACTTGAGTTGTAGACAATGAAAAATTATATTCTTTAACAATACGGAAAGCCCATGAAATTCTCTACATCTTTCTAGTTATTTGTTAAATAAGATTCTGCAGTTATCATGGTCAAAAAACACAAACACCCACTGCTGTCCAGACCAAGGTCAAAACCTGACCGGCTACTTTCAAAATTCATAACTCTAATTCTCTAGGTCTAAAATCATGACCTTTCACGACGACAAACATCTCTAAACCCTCTACCACTTTTGTATTATCAAGTATCACATAAAAGGTAGATTACTACTCAGAACAACTCACCCAATCAAACCTGCACAAGCTGCAGTTTTCAGCACGCATGTTCAATGTATTTTCTATATTTCCTAGTTCAACAAGGAAGGTCACATTTGATAAAATTTTATTAAATCATGCAAGAATTTAGATTCCAATTAGCTGGTTGTTACCTTCCTCCTTTTGGGATTATTTCTTGTCCTATTCATCAGCTGCTGTGAAGTGATATATGTCTTCGATGCAGTCACATTTGCAGTGTTTTCGTTGAAAAGAGCTCTCACTGGGAGGTGCAAGATTTAGTGGAGCGAGTAGGTGCTGGTGCACCTTTTGTATGGTGACAACGCTTCCAGGCTGAGTCTACAAACATCAAGTTGTTTGATCTATTTTAGCTACAGTTCAAGGTACATGGAACATAGTGAAATAATGTCATTACCTCCTGTAACCCATCTTTATTTTCATTTTCATGTCCACCGGTCTCGTCTTCCTCTTCTATGATTGGTGCAACTTGTGTACTGGCATTGTTTTGCAGGGTACTCTATACATACAAATATTGGGGGTGAAAGATTAGGCATCACAATCATAAGATTATCAAGAGTACAAAGGATAAAAATTATTCTAATACCATAATCATAGCTCCTTCTTTTGTGCTGCGCTAGCATATTAAGAAATTCTTGCTTCATTTCTTCTCTTAAGTTTATCTTAGCATTTTCCAGCTCCTCTTGCATCCTCCTCCTATTTTCTTCTTTCTCCCTTTCCTTTCTCGCAGCTTCTTGCATAATCTGTTCTTTGAGCTTGTCAACCTCCGCTTCTAAAGCAATGCTCTTTCCCTAGCTGCAGCTTGAGCACGTGCATGTACTTCAAGGTTCTCTTTCATAAGTTCTCTGCGAGTTCAATACGTAGCCAAATATCCATGCCCATGTAATTTGGATGATTTGATTTGTGTTGTTTCTTTGTAGCATGACTGGAAAATCATGTTCTCCTCAACAGTTGTAAGTGCTGGTCTATCAGGTTCTAATCCAATCTCACCAATTTTCATGGTTGCATTTTCCTAAATTAAATAACAGAACCTGTAAAGAGTTGCTTGACACTACCAGCGGCCGCGTCAGGCTCAACCCCTATGGGGAGCCCAGCAAAGCTATTGGCCTCAACTAGCCCAGAAGGGTAACGAATTCGGAATAGCGCTTGATATGAGAAGTTCAGTGTGGTTTGGCGGCTTCAGCTTTTAAGCTGAGTTTTGCCTCTCCGAATTGGCGAGGTGGCACTAAAGAACCAACCTTTGGCAACAGAAGTGGAACAATCAACACACTTTGTTAACGGGCCGGCCCGAGAAGTGGAACAACGCGCTGCCTCGCCTCTCCTACTTCTCCTCCTCCCCTTCTTCCCCGCCCCGCCGCCACTTTCCCCAACTTCTTCATCACCGAGGCGCCGCGCAGATACAAGGCTAAGCGGCACCGGAAGGAGAAGGAGAGAGAGAGTCCTCCCCCGCCGTGCCCTTGGAGCAAGCCGAATCCAGAAGCGAGCGGAGAGGAGGGAGCTGAGTGAGGATGCCGACGGTCACACCAGCAACGCGTGCAACGCGAGGTTCGACGACGAGGAGCAGCAATGCTCCACTACCGCTCCGAATGGCACCGCTACAACCTCAAGCGCAAGGTAACGTCGCCCCCATAGAATCGCCGACCTTTCATCTCTAGAACCCTAGGTATTAGGTTCATTGGTTCGTCTTGGCCTGCTTTGGGGACTAGAATGACAGAATTGAGAATTAAGCATAGGATTCTTGACATCCCGGTATCGGAATTTGAGTTTTTTTAACAGCTAAGGTCTTGGAATGTTTGCAAAACTCCAACCTCTGCACCTGAGTTTTGTCGATTTTTATGGTTTTGTCATAGTTTTGTTTGAATATTTAGATATACAAATACTCCTGTGGATTGGTAGTTTCTAAAATTGTGTCTATCCAGATACTTAAGAGTTCCATTTCAGTCATGAAAATTGATTAGGAGCTCCAATTCTGTGGCGTGGCTGAGATGATTGGACCTGTCGATTTCGATAGAAGTGTTGATTACTGGCAGCAGGATAAGTGGAGTGGCCAGTTCCCTGTGAAGTGGCACATAATTACGGAATGTTTCACGTGCCTGAACCTTGATTGCTTCTGCTGGGTTTCAACTCTAGCCTACCCCAACTTGTTTGGGACTTAAAGGCTTTGTTGTTGTTGTTGTTGTTGTTGTTGTTGTTGTTGTTGTTGTTGTTGTTGTTGTTGTTGTTGTTGTTGTTGTTGTTGTTGTTGTTGTTGTTGTTGTTGTTGTTGTTGTTGTTTAAGCTGCTAGTATTGGAAAGTAGCTATTGAAGTGCCTGAACCGTGACTTGGGGCTCTTAGTGGGTTTCAACTTTAGCATACCTCAACTTGCTTGGGACTGAAAGGCTATGTTGTTGTTGTTGTTGTTGTTGTTGTTTAAGCTGCTAGTATTAATGGCATTTCTGAATAAATTCACCAACTCTTAACATACAGGTGAAGCTGGAACAGGGCCTCTAGATGCTTACAATCTTCAAGAGCCATGAGGCTGAGACAACAATCCTGGAAGATTTCGACTTCTATGAGCAGCGGGAGAAAGCCTTGCAGGAGAACAGACGTCAACAGCAGCCTGCCAGCACCGATCCTCAGAAGCTGCTGGATACCAAGGCTCAAGGTCCCATGGCCGATATATCAGATGCATTTTCTAAGGCCGTCCAATTGAAGGATACTGAGAACAGTGGGACAACATGACTTCCTTGTACAACATCATAGGCTTTGTTTTATCTCCATTTAGGTTATATAATTTCGATATCATAGTTCCAAAATTATTGTTCCCAGTTCTCTTCGTTCCTGTTTTATTTTACTTCCGTCTTCCATGTTCCTCATGTCGCACCATGAATGATTGTTCAATTTTAGTGGGTTTAGGCATAAGAAGCTGCAGAATTATGCTGCGGTAAAGTTGCATTTTCTGCAGTTGAATGTGATACTGTCAAGTCTTCCATTGTCTCCATCCTTATGTAATTTCAGAGATCCTTTCTCTACTGTATCTTCGTCTTGTTACTCTCAACATGTACAGTTCTGCAGTAGTTCCCTTGGTCACATTGCTTCAAAGCACAACTCATGCTTCAAAGCAACTCTTGCACATTATGAATAAAATGAACTCTGTAACACCTTCAGGTAAAGCCGCTGCAGTAGCAAACCTGAAACCATTTGCAACTGTTACACATCTAGTGGCGTTGCAAAATAGATCAAACCTTAAAGCAACATTCAATAGTAATCATGACATTCAAAATAAATAAATAAAAAAGTAATCATGACCTGTTACAGATTTGCTCACCTCACGAGAGGGAAACAAGGCAAAGATGAATGATTCTGTTAGCACCAAATTTCGACAGGCTACGAGGCAGGAACAAATCCATGCTAGTTACTCATGTTATATATACCATGAAGCATCAAAGCTTCCACATGTTGCCGCATGATGATAAACACACAAACAGCGAGCAGCAAGAACATGCACTTGTTACAACGGAAGGGTATTTAGTCAAAGCATAAAGCTACCTATATTACAACCACTCTGGTGACGACAACTAGGTGTACTCTACGTCAACTCGCGATCACATCTTTTGAAAGCCTCTCAGGAGCCCAATGCCTCTATTGCTTGAAAAAAATTTAGACAAAAAAATCATCATCAGAATCTTCTCCCAGAGTACTAAATGGAGGGAGGACTCCGTCATTAATGTAAGTGTCATCTGGGTCTTTGTCTTCATCAAACAGGTCATTGTGCTCAGGTTCAGGCATGGTTGTTGCAATAGCATGCTCAATAACAGAAGCATCAACAGTAGCCCCATCAAGGCCAGACCTATTCCAAGCTGTGACATCTTCATTTTGTTGTTGAACATTCATATCTTCCATTCCTACAACAACTGAGTCCAGATCGAGCTCGCCCATATTGTCAATGCCTTCTGCTTCAGGCATGGCAAAGAGATTTCTAGGCTGCACTCTAAGGACAGTGCACCAATCTGGTTTCTTTATGTTTCTCGCATAAAAGACTTGCTCGGCTTGTGTGCTCAGGATGTAAGGTTCATCTGAATACCTAAACCGAGTGATATCAATATTGATGACCCCATATTTATCCTTATTGTACCCTCTCGATCTGCTACTACTAGCTGCAGGGACATCAAACCATACACAGTGGAACAACATGACTTCCTTGTCACCATGAAAATCAAGGCAAATGATTTTCTTCAGCACACCATACCAGCCCATGTTTCCTGTATTTGCATCGCCCTTCACGAATACACCACCATTTTGAGTAGTTAAGCAGTTCTCTATGGAAGAGACCCGAAAAAGGAAGCCATTTATGAAACACATGTTGAACACACGAGCCCGAGGGTCTGGACCGCGAGATAGATAATAAATCATGTCATCTATTTCCCCTTGTGCACGCAATGTGCTGATCTGCATTTAATCATTTAAAAAAAATTTAGGGACTAATAAACCGACAAAGTGGCTAGCTATTATTACGGACTAATAAATTTACAAGAAGCATGTGGAAACTATAGAAATAAAATAGGATAAATATATTAGGGACGACTCACTTTACGCTCAAACCATGATACAAACTCCTCATTGTGTCTTTTATCAACATGCCTTGAGCTAATTTTCTTCAGCTCATCCATATGCTCACTATCCACAACAATTGAAAATACGTTCATTAGTTACATATATATTTTAAATATTCATGACCACCATAAAAAACAATTTAAAATATAGCTTACTTTATCCATGGAGTGACCTCGTCACAGTTGGTTAATATGTAATGCCTCATCCTATGCATTTCAATATCAGAAACTTTCTCGAGAGTACTTCCTTTCCTACTATAGTCAAGGCTCCCAAATATAATTAGCCTAGATGGTGGTTCACTAGCAGCGGCGCTTTCATGACGCTCTGGACGATTAAGCTTGGTACTAATATTTTCAAAAAAAGAGAGCAAAATGTGAGGCACTCCTCGAGATATATACCCCCGCAATTGAACCTTGGGCGCGCTTTGTTCTTCACATAGCCTTTAAGAGTACGAAGGTACCTCTCAACTGGATACATCCATCTATAACAAACCGGGCCTCCAAGTCTAGCTTCACAAGCAAGATGAACCGGTAAGTGCATCATAATATCAAAAAAAGCCGGTGGAAAAATCATCTCCAACCCGACAAAGGGTCTCCCTAATTGAAGTGCTCAGTTTTTCAATTTCTGAAAACTCCAACTCCTTTGAACACAGTGAGTTAAAGAACCTACTTAGCTCCATCAATGGGGTCACCACATCTTCACGCAATATGTTGCGCATCACTAAAGGCAAAAGTTTTTGCAAGATTACGTGTAGGTCATGAGTTTTAAGTCCAGAAAGCTTGCAATCATTGACGTCCACACATCTCCGAATATTTGCGGCATAACCATCAGGGAACTTGACGCCATGTAAAAATTTGCACAAAATTTCCTTGTCATCCTTACCTAGAGAGTACAGCGTTGGTGGCAAGGTGTACTTACCCTTTTCGAGCACTGGATGTTGATCTGGCCTTATACCCAAATGTTGCATATCAAGTCGAGCCTTCTCACTGTCCTTGCATTTACCTTGTAACTCCAACAAAGTCCCCAGTAAGCTCTCACATATGTTCTTCTCTATATGCATGACATCCAAATTATGTCGTACTAGCAATGATTTCCAGTAAGGAAGCTGAAAGAAAATACTCTTCTTCCTCCAGTCGTGCCACCTATTTTCTTCGTCACGTTGCTTCATTTTCCTTGTATCCTTTCCAAAAGTCACTTGCTGGATACTTTCATAGTCCCGCAGCACCTGCTCACCACTGAGCGGCACTGGAGCTTCCCTAGTTTCAGCCTTGTTATTGAAGCTCGTCTTGTTCCTTTGCCACTTATGGTTCATGGGCAGAAATCAGCGATGTCCCAAGTAGCAATGCTTTGAGCCATGTTTTAACCACAAGTAATCAGTATGCTTGTGACAATAAGGACAAGCAAACTTACCTTTTGTGCTCCAACCAGATAACATCGCATATGCGGGGAAATCATTAATTGTCCACAGCAGAATTGCATGTAGAGTAAAATTCTTCTTCTCCTTCTCATCCCATGTTAAAACTCCATTAACCCATAGATCATGTAGCTCATCGATCAGAGGTTGCAAATATACATCAATGTTCACTCTAGGAGATTTAGGCCCAGGTATCAACATCGACATCATCCAATAAGGTTGTTTCAAACACAGCCAAGGAGGCACATTATAAGGAATCAGTATCACGGGCCAACAAGTGTAATTAACATTCAACATCCCAAATGGATTGAAGCCATCAGATGCAAGTCCCAGTCTAACATTACGTGGATCAGAATCAAACCACTTATACCTGTCATTCACGTGCTTCCACGCCAATGAGTCTGCTGGATGCCGCATTTTCCCATCACTAACCAATTCTTCCTTGTGCCACCGCATCAATGATGATGTTTTCTTTGACATATATAATCTTTGCAATCGAGGAGTAAGTGGAAAATACCTTAGAACTTTGCAAGGAGTGCGCTTCTTTGCTCCACCACTTTCGCTAGACTTGCCAATCTCATCAGAATTTGTGTCGTCTTTCTTCCACCTACTCTCACCACATGTTGGACACGTGTCCATATCAGCCAACGGCCCACGAAATAACACGTAGTCATTCACACAAGCATCGATCTTAATGTATGTGAGGCCAAGGTCGCGGATAATCTTCTGTGCTTTCTTGATAGTGTCTGGGATACAATGTCCGGGGGGAGCGCATCTCTCCATAGGCTAAGTGTTTGCTCTGCGTTCTCCTTACTCCATCCACCCATGCACTTAAGTTGAAAGAGCTTGACCAAGAATGATACCTTGGTAAGCTGTGAGCCTGGCCACAACTCTTGTTGCGCATCTTTCAACAAATCAAAGAATTTCTTTGCACTCACAAGGCTCTTCATTGGTATTGCCACTGGTCGCACCCCTAATTAATGCGGACAACAGATTGTTGGCGGATGATGCATCATCTGGTGGGCCTACATGCTAGCTGCTGGTGCTGGCTGTAGGGATCGGGGAGGGCTCCACCACGTTCTTCGCAAGGAGACAACGCGTGGGGGAAGAAGAGAGGCCGCGGGAGAGAAGGAGCCGCGACAGGAGCTACAGGCCGCGACCTCTACGTGATATGTAAAATTAGATTAGATCCTTTTTCCAATATAACTGGTCAACATTAATTAATATAGGGTGCTTTCGCTATTACTAACACAAACATAGACGTATTCTAGTGGTAGGAGCTTACTTTCAAGACCAAGAGGTCTCAGGTTCGAAACCCATATTGTTGTCATTTTAAAAAAAAAAATTATGCAACCATTAAAGTGGAAAGGCTTAGGTATTGCAACAATGTAATTTTTGGTTGCTATATTATAACCTTTTTGCAATGAACGAAACTGCTACATACAACGAAACCATAATCGTTGCAACCTTAGTGATTGCAACAAACTATTTTTTTTCGTTGCTATATGTACCAATTTTTTGCAACGCAAGCGACTATTATATACAACGGAACATATTCGTGGCGATATAGATGGGCTATTGCAACCATAAAATAAAGAGTTGCAATATCAACTTAGTATTGCAACGAAAATAAACTTGCCCGCAACGCAAATCAAATCGTGGCAACATTAATCACTTATTGCAACCGTTCAATAATTTGTTGCGATAACACTTA